GGGAGCAGCCCGGCCGAGCTCCGCCGTGTTGCTTGGGTTGTAGTCGTGTCTGCCTCGACTGCTAGTCTTCCGTTGAGAGGACTGGTGGGCTGAGACAAACAGCCTCTTTTAGTCTTTATATAAAAGTTCCGGTTATCGTAGATCAAAATGAGAGCTCCAGACATCTCTCTTGGGTTTAGCATGTGCCACTAGCACTCCACAGCAGTCTTGTTCACCTAAATTTACATTACAACTAGTTCATTTACAAGTTTGGTGCGTTTTTCATACAAGCAGTTATACCTAGGCCCAACAGAATGCTAATAGAAGAGACAGGTGCATAATGAAGCATAGGCAGACATGATTTCTGTTTGTCCTTATCTTCCCAATGGTAAATCATTAGGATTTTGAATGTGCGGAGGAAATCTAACTCCGAAGATTTCTGCTGGAAATAGGAGCTGATCTTTGCCTTCCTATTTCTGGGCCTTCAATAATCTTACAACGCATTGTTCTACCTCATTGTCTAAATTATAGCATAAAACTGAGGGAGTTTGCACGTTCAACTTAAGTTGTTTTATTCCTTCAAGAAATGGTGGAAGAGTATCAAGAATGTTATTGTCGATAATTAGAATTTTACATCACCTTTGTTAACAAAAAAAAAGTAAGATGTAGGGAAGGTTATATATATATATCCCTGTCTTAAAAATCTTAATACATCGAGAGTAAGTAGAATATCATTAACTAATGACAGTGCATAATGAATATGATTTATGCAGAGCATGCATATTAATTAATTGCTATGCAGAGCTCTGCAATCACCCAGTCAATCACAGGCTAAGGTAATTACTGTTCTTGCTATTGGAGAAGTTCCAGACCTTGGTCCTCAAAGATGTAATATTGCATTCTCACTAACTTAAATGGTTTCATTCATAAAACATTGGACTAATGAATCCAGTTCAAATGTATTGGAGGGATCACAGTGTATTTTCCTCTTACATCTGTTCAAGTGTGAAAATCAGATATGCTGAAGAAAGAGAATATGAGAACAAAGTTGCCTTTCTTCAGCTGTGAAATTTAACTAAAACAATCTGCTTGGAAAATCGTACATTTCAGTAGCTCAGGGCTGGCATGTAGATACTTAAATAAAAAAGGTTAAAAGGAATCTTGTAATCTGAGGACAGTAGCTATTGTTAAAGCTATTTCATTTAGGTCCTCTTCTCTTCTTACATGAGGACAGTAGCTATTGTTAAAGCTATTTCATCTAGGTCCTCTTCTCTTCTTACCGGAAAACCATGGTATTTCCAGAGCCTAAGCCTGTGAGCTGCTGACTACTTCAACTTCTGATGTCTAGTAGTCTTTTATGGACTGTATTTGGAGAAGCAATGTAGAAGAGATCCAAATGCAATGAGTAGGTGTTGTGGTTTAACCCCAGCTGGCAGCCAAGCCGCACACATCGTCTCACTCATCCCCTCCAGTGGGATGGGGGAGAGAATGCGAAGAGTAAAAGTGAGAAAACTCATGGGTTGAGACAAAGACACTTTAATTGGTAAAACAGAAGCCATGCACACACAAGCAAATGAAAACAAGGAATTCATTCACCACTTCCTATGGGCCCGCAGGTGTTCAGCCATCCCCAGGAAAGCAGGGCTCCATCATGTGTAACTGTTACATGAGAAGACAAAACGCCATCACTCCAAACGTCCTTCACCTTCCTCCTGCTTTCCCAGCTGTACATGCTGAGCATGATGCTATATGGTATGGAATATGCCATGGTCAGTTGGGGTCAGCTGTCCTGGCTGTGTCCCCTCCCAGCTCGTTGTGCATCCTGACTCTGCTTGCTGGTAGGGTGGGGTGAGGAGCAGAAAAGTCCTTGACTCTGTGTAAGCGCTGCTCAGCAGTAACAAACACATCCCTGTGTCATCAACAGTGTTTTTAGCACAAATCCATAACATAGCTCTGTACTAGTAGCTGCTGTGGAGAAAATTAACTCCACTCCAGCCAAAACCAGCACACTAGAAAAACATAATTAACCTACACAAACCACTTGCTTTATTTTGTTTTGGTTTTTCGGTTGTTTGTTTTTGGGGTTTTTTTTTGACATTGAAGGACAAAGCTTTCTTTGTAGTCCAACAGAGGCTGGTATTAGCATAAACTGCTGATGTTCAGCACCTTTTGGGTTCAGCTTGTGGCATAAGGATGGTTATGGTGACAGCTACAAAACCAAATGCTGTCTAATTCTATTTTCCCTGGAGCATTCTAAGACAAAACAAGAATGGTGACAGCACACATAGCCAGCAAAGGATCCCATGGGAATGGAGACTGGAAGTGCTCATCAGTATTTTGCTGACTAGTGTAAAATCCTCTCAGGAGGAGAATGCCTGTGCACTCAGTGGATAAGCATGACAACCCATTTCAATCAATAGTCTAAGAAAGTAAACCATCTTTCCATTCCTCTAGCAGGATTCCAACTACACAGAGCATTAACATTTCAACACTTAAAGTAGCCAACCTTACTTCTAAGAAGTACTAATTTTAGGACTGGAACATTAAACCATACTGTTGCTAAACACTAGTATTTATTTTGGCAGTGATGACCCACACAAATACCATTATTTCTGCACCTGCAACTGCATTGCTCAAATTGTGTGAGATGAGTAAGTTGCCAGTGGTGTAGGTGGCAGCTGCAAAGTACAATTCCCCACATAGACCTTTTCCATCCTATCACAACATTTCCAAAGCGTTGGTGCGTGTGCTTGGAGGGCTGAGCTGCAGTGTGTATACAGCCACCTCAGTCTGCGGGTAAAGGCAAATGTTGCATTTTACTGGGCATCAACAAAACTGCTGGTTTGAGATTCTTGTAAATTCTGTTTATTGGGCATAACAAAGACTGAAATGTAATGGGTGCAAGCCATAATTTTCTCTATTCTTCCTCCTGGGAATCAAGTCCTAACAGCACAACATTGATTATCTTTCAGAGATTTTTATTACAACTGCAAAAGATGAAATCTTTCTTTTTCCATGAAAGGTAGAATTTCAGAATTGTTTAAAATACAACCTAAATCCTCAAACACACAGAAATACCTGTGCATACTCGTTTCCAGGACACTTGCTTTTGTTCTGGATTTGGTTTAGGCTGTAATGTACTTGTCAAACTTGTTTTTCACCTGTGTAAGTGAACGTGCAAATGGAAGGATTCAGTGTTATTTCCGAAGTTTGGTCTCTGTAATCATTCAAATTGTTTTCTGCTAAGACCCAGAAATTCCAGAGCATTTCCAGCCTTGAGTTTATCCTGTTAAAACATAACACATACGTATGTTTGTGTGTGCTTAATTCCTATTTTACTCAAATGCTTTTACTTGTGTTATAAAATGAACTGCTGCAAAGAGACTAAAGGGCCTCTTTGTAGAAATCAGTGTGTTACACTGTTTTTTCAGTGTTTTATCTCAGGTCTAAAACCAGAGGCTTAAAAAGGAGGGGAAGAAAACCCCAAATGTAAAGATCATACCTTCAGTTTATTGTCAAAATCTTCCATTGAATCGATCAATTTTCCAGGTTCCAGTTCCCCAAGTGGAAAAGGGTAGTCTGTCCCCAAAATAACCTTGTCCTGGCAATAAAAAAAAATGTTGTACATATGTAGCGACATTGAACAATATAGTTGCACGTTTTTTCGGGAATTTATAATAAACTACAGGAAATCACATGTATATATTGGACTGATTAATTACTGAAGTGAATATGAAGACAATCTTTGGGATCCAACTTTCATTAGAAAGAAAACAAAGCTTGAAAACAACAACTTAAGGTTTTATTGGGTGAATTTAAGTTGGGAAAAAAAAAGTACAGGTTATTTGTTAACCATTTTTTGGAGGTGTCTAACTAAAGTTTGGTGTGTTTTTATTCTGGCAGAAAGCTCAAAATGCAAATCCCAGGCCTGTGAGCATGAGTGTGTATTGCTCAGGTGAATAAAATATAAATGGTAATTTCCTCCTCAGATTGGTTTTCTGTACTGCAGTGCTGTGTAACAAAACAGCATCTGTTGTTCTCCTACACAGCTCATACTGCTTCTGCAAGTAGTTTGCCTGAAGTGCAGTGATTAATTTTGGTGAAGTGTTTCCATAATTAAATGTTCAATAAAGAATACTCAGAATTATTCCATGTGTTTCTTGACTTATTGTTTGGTTCTTTTTCATGCTCATTTCATGCTCTGCATTGTGGTGTGCAATCCAAATCGAGTATGAGGGTTTTTGACACATTTCTTTAAGAATCTCAGGAGGTTCTGCACCAAACTCAGAAAAGGTGCTTTGATTTGCATTCCTGAATTTGAAAATCTTGACTACACACACACAGACACACGCAAACTTAAAATTATATATATACAAGAAAAACATGTAACGAAAAATACAAAGCAATCAAAATTATCTTTTGTGTGATACTTTAAAAGGTGTAATAATTGCAGTATGATACTACTTAAAGCATGTTATGATGTAGAATTACTACAAACACTTAAATTAAAAAAAAAAACTTAACTAATGGTCAGCTACAGATAAAAAACCCCAAAAATCTCATTTACAAAATTGCATATATTTTTAGAAGTCTGTATTTTTTTAAGATGTCATTGACTTTAACTGGGATTGGATATTAGGTGTGCATTTGAAACGTGTATTGAGAATATAAGTGACATGATTTTTTTCTGAAAGCAAGTCAGTGAAAAGAAAATTCAATAAAAACCTGTATGCAACATTCCTGTTGTCAGAGATGAAAAGAAATAGGCAGATCCTCAATAGGTGCCCGTGGTTGTAGGTTCATTTTCATACAGGAATATTTCCTCATTTTATCTGCCTTGGAGAGCACATACTGCTAACTCTTGATTTGATCAAGTCTGTTTTCCTTTAAGCTTCACCTCCTGAAGACATCAATATTTGAAACCCAGAGGTTTCATTAAAAATAAATTGGCTTTAAAGGTCTGATGAATTTGAAGTCAAGCTTATAATTTTGGGGCACTTTTTATAATATTTGAACTCAGTTACAAGTACTGAAATAAGATGAAGAAAACATAATTCAGTTATTTTATTAAATGATTAGGTTTTCTTATTTGTCCTATGTTGCTTTCTAAATTTTTTTACCTCCAGTAGATGTCACCGGAGAGTCTCTGAAAACCTAAATAAAACCTTATCCCGAATCTGAACAGAAGATGCACATTCTATTGTTCTGTCCTATATTGCTTTGTTATAATTTATTAAAGAAGTCTTGCCATACGAATAGGAGAGTTTATATTCTCTGTCTACTAGATCAAGTTCTTAGTGTAGATCGAACAAAATAGATCTGGATGCGTGTACTCTTAAGCAGCTAAATACATTCTCTTGTTTATAGTAGTCAATCTTCTAAAACATTTTCTTCACACACAAAACCCAAATGTGTGCCATATGCAAAAAAACCCCAACCAATAAACATACTACGTTTATATGAGAAAATGGATTTCTAAGTTAAGGAGAAGGAAACCCAGCTGTTTATTAGTCAAGGTTGAACAAGCCAGGAAGGTTTGTACGTTCTTGTTTCCATCTCCTATATACCAAAGGAGAAGGACATCCCATGCCCTCATTGGAATAATACTTATGCATTATTTCAATTATATTTTTCTTTTCCTTCAATTTAAAGTGTTTCACAACTAATCATGTTATCTATTTATCAGCAGTAAAATTAAGAGCTGTAATTTAATAACAAGATTTTAGAAGCAGTGTTATTGCTCTGCTACTAGTGATATTAGGCTATTCATTTATACTCTTTGAGCTTCAGCTTTGTACCCACCTATACAATAGGAATTGCAATACCTGTCTTTAGCAACCAGCCTCAGAGAAGTCCTGTGCAGCTTCTGCAGATAAATAATACTCCTAGCATAATGGATGTGGTATTATATAATTCCAAAGTGTACCAAGAGGGGCAGTTTTCCCTAGAGGACTTACAGTTTGATACGTTAATTAGCACATCTCTGCTTTCAGAAAGGTGCATATGGCTAATGATTAATGTCATTTAATCAGAGCCTCTTCTACTCAACAGAACTTTTTTCACGATGATAGAGGCCCAAATCTTAAAATTAATCTCAAAGAGCATCAGGCTTGAGTTCATCCTCTTGTGTTAGTAAAAACTGTATTTGCCTTGATTTTCATATTCTTTCCTACTGTCAGGACGTATATCAAAAAAAGGCCAGATAGCTATAGCCAGTTCAGCTCCAACTGTGGCCAGAGCATGTTTTACCTTTGGGTGATGGCTCTTCAGGAATCACCATGAGGTAGTTTTTTTAGAGATACACTGAATCATTTAATCCCTGTCAGTGCTGTTCTTCACTTTTTATAGCCAGCATCATTAGGAGTTGTGTGTTTATTTGTATTCACTTCACGCTACCTCACCATGGTTGGAGAGTGAAGGACTGCAGCAATTTTGCAGTCTTACAAAATTATTTCTCAGAAATGTGTATTTCTGCTTCCTTGAACTGGGATAGGCGCCAATTAACCTGCACCAAAATCTAAGAAGGGATGAAGTTAAATGTACATGAGTCATCACAGCTGTCACTGGATTTTAATATTCATAAGCTGAAAGCCAACACATTACATTGTGATGCCAGGGAATGGCTGTTCCCGAGGGACCTGAAGCCACATCTAAGCACATCTGTAATACTGCCGTGCCTGCACAGCTCTCAGCCGTACCCTGGAGAGCCGTCCTATTTCAGACCTTCAGCTTACAAAGTTACAGTGCCATCCTCAAGATCCAATCACATTGTTTTTAGCCCAGCATTTATCCATCTTATAAGTGTTTTTCTGCCAATACATGACTGGTCTGAGAACACTGAGATATTTGGCGTTTTTTCAAGCATTTGGCTAAGGGAAAAGGTATTATGGGAGAACATCAACTTTCATTGGTAAAAGAGGGCACTTTTTAATCTTCATGGTTATAAAGTAAAGCTTGAAAGTGTGATGTGAATGTTCTTTTCAAGGATAAGATGCCTTAGGCTTTGAAAAGAGAAAGAAAATGTAAGTTTGTTTCCACCCCCCACCCCCCCCCCCCCCGAGTTCTCCTGAGTGGTAAAAGCATTTACGTTTTTGGGATCTGACTCATGACTCTTCAGCACAGAGTTCTACCTGATGTCACATTGCTTGAGCTCAAAATACCCAGAAGAGAATTAAAGATGACACCAACATCCCACGTAGTACACTGGTCAAATTTATTGTGTTAAGGAACTTAATTTCAGAAGTCTGTTGGCAAAATACACAGGACACCAGAGAGGCTATTGATGAGTGACTTTCAGATTATCGAATTACAGTCCATAACCTCTCTCTCCTCAAACAACTAAATTTCAGTTTTGCAAAGGCTAATCATGATTAAAGGTCAGAGTCTATGTGTCATTTCTTAGGAAGAAAGGTAGAGAAGTTACAGTTTAAGTGTGGTTCAGAGACAACAGCCATTGCTTAGAGCAGCCTTGAGATGCAAAGCTAACTTGTTACTCTAGAGCAGAACTGCTCTGAGACTTGCATTTTACAGAAGTTAAAACAGAAAAAGTTTGTCAGCAGTGAATTAGGCATCCTGTTGTATTTTCTCTCTTGCTTTGTTCTTAACATCTATGGTTCAGCTTAGCAAAATCAGACCAGAAAAACAATCAGTATTGGGCTGGAGCCCTAGCATTGTGTTAGTAACCCAGCTGGTGCCTAAAATTTCATCCCTGAAACAGAGATCTCTCCATCACTGTTCACTAGGACTAGCACTGACAAGAAAATTGCTATAACATGTAGAGAAAACAGGGATACAGTTGTTCAGACAAGGAAGTCAGTGTCAGAGCTTGCATTTCTGTTTTTCACACCTGGTAAGTATGTGTCTGCTAGCTGCAGAAACTGCAGAGATCAAGACATCAATATTGGGTCTCTTGCTGATTTGTAGTGATACACTGGAAGTTGGCATGAGTGATGCCATTTTCAATCACTTCCTGAGCATTTACTAATGAGAAGGAAGTATTGGAATGTTTTTGGATTTTTCAGTCCCATGCCAAAACCCATTTAAACAGGTTGCTAAACTACAAGGATTACTTTACTCCTTAACAATTAAAATATTTTTGCAATCCCATGATGTTTAATGTTCTTTTCAGAATCCTCACAAAAATTTATTATTGACTTTTTTTCCTGCCTATAACTTTGCAAGTGGAAATACAGTTTGATTTCTTCAAGTATACACTTGAATTTCAAAATTAAGCTATTTTAAAACAAGGCTCTAAAGGTAGCAGTCTTTACTTGCATTCCTATCCGGAACGAAATTGCACAAGGAACAAGCCTTACTGAACTGAGATTCACAGTGTATGATTTCCTTGATTAAAAACACCATTTTTATAACTGTATATTAAAATCTTTATAAACAGGGCAGAAGCCTCTCAGTTTATAGTAGCTCAGGTTCTGATTTTACTGGGTGAATGAATATGCTATCTTCTTCCTGTTTCTTCTTCTCCTTTTGCTGTTTCATAGGGAATTAAATAAAGAATGACTCACCTGCTTCTGGAAGCATTAAAACTCACCTCACCTATTACACTTGTCAGCAGCCTTAATGCACCACGATCATGGACGAGGGAGTCTGTATAAAATGAACCAAGGTATTTTCTTGGATCCACCTTACTATCAAGTGCACATAAATCAGGGCGCACAGTGAATCCATGGGAGATTCGCCCCACTGTGTATGGAAAAGCTCCACCTGCCAGAAGAAATTTTTAGTAAAGCACCTGAAAATATGCAGGAGGGAAAAAAGCCACTTTATCAACAGATCAAATTTTACTGTTAGCTATTTAGAAAGAAAGTGCTCCATGCCAGCAATTTTTTATTCTTTCCATTTCATTAGCTTCTTTCTGTTTTCCCCACTTCTTCACTCCTGTGATGCCTAAATTCTTTCTGCTGCTTGCTTGTCCCTTTCCCCAAACCATCCCCTATCTCCCCTTTCTCCTTGTTTCCCTTAAAGACTATTTTAACAGTTCAAACACTGGCTGAAACAGGCTAAAGAGTGTTCATACAAGCAGCCAATCTGGCTGATTGTCTTATTTGGGGTAATAGTACTCAGCTAGTGGCAGGCTTAAAGTGGTAAACCTATTAGCTGGCATGCCAGAAAATACAACTGTACCATGCTCAACTGAATTACAGGTGTTTCACATGGTGTATTACTTACCTCCATGTGCAAAGCAAACTTTCAGCTTAGGAAATTTTTCAAAAATTCCTCCCATAAGCATGGAGCAAATGGCTATGGTTGTTTCTGTGGGCATGCCTAAGAACAAAACCAGCTTTATTGTATGAGAGTTTTATTTTCTATTTACCTATTTGAGTTTGAAATGTTACCTTAATTTTCTTCAAGTAGCCTTGAGTCTATTGAAAAAATAATAGTTACAGAGCAGCTGCCAAAAGATATACATTATTTCTATTAGAGGAACACGGAGCTGAACATTAATTAACTGAAATGAGGACACAGGACTGGAAGCTAATATCTGAACTCTAAGCCCCCTTTCCACCTTACACCATTAGGACAGCTGACAGGCAGGTTGGGCATGTCCTGAAAACACATGCTGCAGGCTTGATTACTTAGTTAACCTGGAATAAGCCAGTTTCTCTTCTCACCTGTGTTTCTGGGTTTGTGGAAAGTAGGGCAGATATGTTGGTGGATATTCCAACACAGATCTGAGGTTTCGTTATAACACGGTGTCAGTTCCTACAGTTTAGAAATAGCCTCTCTCTTTGCCACTGGTTAACTTGGATGCCCAGTGTCAGGAACATAACAGCAATTTAGGTTCCTACGTAGGGCCTCGGTTTCTGAGCACACCTAACTTATTTAGACTATCATGCCATTTCGGTGCCTAACTTCAGACATCCAGCTTGAAATTAGGAAATGAGTTCCCCTCATTTATTGGGGAATCAATACCTACTAATGTTTTACCATATGCTTAGATGCAAAGCCTTATTAGGCTTAGTAGGAAAATATTTTTGCTATACTTTGTTAAGTAAATGCAAGAATTTTAGTCTCTTTTAAAATCTGTGTTGTTTAGCCTGCTCTGATTAAGACTAACTGATATGTTTTAAGATGATGCACTGGTGATTGGGACACAAAGATTTTGCAGTGTATATTGCAGAACATATATTGTATGTACATTGTGTATGTTTTTCTGAACACCTCTACTGGATGCAGTTCAAAACCATGCAAAACAAAAGAAAACAATGCAAAACAGAATAAGTAAGGATGGAATCACATCTAAACATTTCGAGGTATCATTATAACCTGCCTCCTGTTATTCAATGTAGTTCTGACTTACCTAGTAGATGGGGAAAAAAATCAGGAACTAGATAAGTGCCTACATCTATGGGGAGCTTTCAACATGTTGTTTCAGCTAGAGTCGATGTGAACTTCTCTGATCAACCTGTTTTTAGGAAATGATCCAAGAAATTCTAGGAAGTAATGTTTGGCTTTGCCTACTCTTTCATTTACTCACGTTATTTTTGAGGATCCCATTTCAGAGAAAATTCACTTTTCCGTAGTCACCTGCTGTTTGTGTTCAGGACAAAAAAGAATACTAGATTCTGTTGCTAGTCTGAATAATTTTAATTCTAGGTATTTAAAAGTTAGACAAACTAAACAAGCTTAAAAACAAATGACTGCTGAATTTACACAACAGACAATTATAGTACTAAGATTGATAGAAAAATCATGTAGTTTTTCTCTTTACTGGTACCTTTGCAACAATATTCTGGGCATAATACAGTGACAGTTCATAAATGTAGATTAAGCAAAGTAAATATACACTCACCTATTAGCCAGGGGAACCAATATTTGGACATCCTTCCATCTATCTGCATGTCCCAGGGATGCACGAAGAGACAGCAGTTTAATCGTTCAGCAGCCTGTGGCAAAAAGAAATCTAAATCTTGACTAATTATACCAAAATGCATCTCAGTTCTTAATCATGCTTTAAAGTTTACCTGCAAAATTGTACTGACCATTAGTACCAGTAATGAAAACAGGCCCAGGAAAAGAACAATAAGCAATAGTTTGTTGCATTTACTCCTCTGGGCCATATCCTGAAGTTGTCCCTCAGTTTCAGAGTTCTTTTAGAGACTACAGGATTGGAAATACTGATAGTACTGATTTAGTAAGCTGTCCTGGTTTCAGCTGGGATGTATTTTCTTTCTAGCTGCTGGTACAGTGCTGTCTTTTGGATTTAGTATGAGAATAATGCTGATAACACGCCAGTGTTCTAGTTGTTGCTAAGTAGTGCTTACTCTAAATCAAGGACTTTTCGGTTTCGCATGGAGAGGTGGAAGTGAACAAGCGGCTGCGTGGTACTTGATTGCTGCTGGGGTTAAACCGCGACGTAAGCCAAGTGTTCCTCAGATTAATATGGTACAAAAATGCTTTTTTAGCTGTGTTTGTCACAAATCTTACAATATAAAACTTGGTTCATACTAGCATTCTTTTGGTTTCATTACACATATGAGGATGAATTCTCATCATGCTTTATAGAACCACTTTAGGATGGTTTTGCATAACTGTTCCAGCTGCATTCACGAATTCTCATTGCAGTTGCACTACATTTGTCCCCTTAGGCTTTCTAACTGACTTAAAGTTAAAACTATTCCTAATCCACCCTAAGAGTCTGAAATCTGATCAATAATCTGTCTCAAGTATACACATTTTTTCAACGCTACTGATATCTTTGGAAAGGAAAACAGAAGAACAATATAGGATGCTGATTCTGACTAATTTAACTATGTGCTTAAATTTAAATACATAGTCATCAGAGTCATTCATATGCTTAACCAGGATTTAACATCTTCGTTTTGTCAGATGTATTTCTGGACCCCTTCTCGTTGCTAAGGAGATTATCACACATTTGAAAAATTTGGGTTTATTTACCCATACATGCATAAATAAAGCTGCAGCTTTTGGATTGTAGGGAGTAATTGCCATCCACATTTGTAAACTCAAAATAGCAATTCAATAAATGGCTTGGTAGATTTATAAAGTTCATTATCAAATATGGCTTAATTTAACAATTTTTCTTATCCAGCAATGTTTCTAAAAGTGGTAGGGTTTACTTCCTACATGTGTTAAACATAAACTGAAGAATGTACATTATAAGAGAGAGATCCCAGTACAAGAGAGGAATCTCAGGATGCTGTGTTGCATCAGCAATGGCACCACCAGCAGAGGTAAAGATGTCATTTTCCCACTGTACTTGACGTTTGTCAGGCCACACCTGGAATACTGTGCTCAGCTTTGGTCCCCACTATAAAAGAAAGCTGTAGGCAGGCTGGAGAGGGTTCAGAGCAGGTCCACAAAGATGATTAAAGAGCTGGGAATCCTGCAATGTGACGAAAGGCTGAGAGAGCTGGGTTTGTTCAGCCTAGAGAAAAAGAAGGCTCAGGGAAGACCTTATCACCATGTTCTGGTATATAAAGGCTGGCTACAAAGAAGATGGAGACTCCCTTTTTACAAGGAGTCACATGGAAAAGACAAGGGGTAATGTACACAAGTTAATCCTGGGGAGATTCCAGCTGTACACTAGAGGAAATTTTTCACATTGAGAGGAATCAAACGCTGGAATAATCTCCACGGGGAAGAAGTGGGATTCCCCAACATTGAATACTTTAAGATTCAGCTGAAGATTCAGGGTGCTGGGACATACAGTCTAGGTAATGCTTTGCCAGTGGGACTAGCTGATCCCTGTGGTTCCTTCCAACCTGGTATTTTATGATTCTGTGATTCAGTACAAGAGAGATATGGAGTTACTGGAGAGAGTCCAAAGATGGTGAAGCGACTGGAGCATCTCTCCTGTAAGGAAATGCTGAGAGTGCTGGGACTGTTTAGCCCCAAGAAGAGAAGGTTCAGAAGAGATCTCATCAATATATATGAATACCTGAAGGGAGAGCATAAAGAAGATGGAGCTGGGCTCCTTTCAGTGGTGCCCAGTGACAGGACCAGAGGCAATGGGCACAAACTGAGGAACAGGAAGTTCCCTCTGAACACCAGGAAATACTTTTACTGTGAGGGTGACTGCACTGGCACAGGTTGCCCAGAGAGGCTGTGGAGTTTCCGCCCATGGAGATATTCAAAAGCCATCTGGACATGGTTCTGGGCATCTGGCTCTACGTGGCCCTGCTTGAGCAGGGGGTTGGGCCAGGTGACCTCCAGAGGCCCCTCCAAAACTCAGCCTGCTGTGATTCTGTGAATGCATGCATCTCCAAGAGGGGAAGTTGCTAACTGATTGTATATGAGCATAAAAAATATACCCTGGATGCTGCACTAGAAGAATTCTTGAATAAATTGAACATTCTGAAAAATAACCTCTATGGATCAATTGCAAGCTGACAACTATAATAACATGTGCTATTTAAGAAATGCAATCTGTAAGTTCATTTTATAATCAGTACATTCAGTTTGGAACTTTTGGTCAATTGGCATAATTCTCTATGGTACTTTGGTTCTACAGGTATCTCGGAAAATCTCAGGGAGTTTTATGAGTTATGTCAATAGGATTGGATATAGTAACTTGAACCCAAAAGCACAGTGCAGAAATACTTTATTTGATACTGCACTTATCCTCACAAATCAAGAAGGCAACTCTACAGTGAGAACTCATATCATAAAAAGATTTCAGAATGTTTTATATTGTATTATTGTCATTACATCCTATAATGAATTATCATATATTATTAAAGCTGTGTGTCTCTACTAAGCAGATTAGAAGGCTCAGCTGTTTTAATGGATCTATAAAGTTTATTTAGTTGATTGAGTATGTCTCAAGATACTTTTAGACAGAATTCCATACCATGGAATTCCCCAGAATAAGGAAAGAAACATATACTCACAGCATAAATATCATACAGTTCTGGTGCATTCAGGTCCCATTCATTGACGTGAGATCCTATTTGTACTCCAGGAAAACCAAGTTCATTGACGCAACGATGCATTTCCTTCACAGCCAGGTCTGGAGCTTGCAAAGGTAATGTACCCAAGCCGATAAACCTCTTGGGGTACTTTTTTACTGTAGCAGCTAAGTCATTATTTAATATCTGGGCTAGATCTAAAGTATCCTGAGGTTTGGCCTGGTAAGATATTAAGCAGAACAGTACATTAAAATATAGTTCTCAAATGTTAACACCTTTAGAAGATACTGGATAAATGTCACTGCAAACAATTCAGACACAGGGTTTGAACCTAAAATTTACTTTACAGTTCTGAATAGCTGGAAATCAGTAGGGCTAAATTCTGCCTTGCTTTAAAACCTCTGGGTGCAGTTCTGCTTCTTGTCTTGAATATTTTATCAACTGCTGTTGCCTCTGCTGCTCAGGATGAGTGTAATAAAGCCCAGGTTGCTGATGCACGCAAGTATCTGGTCTTTTGTGTAAACCAGTCCTCTGTTTTTGTCTATCCCAATGCAAAAACCTCAGCATATATTTTTTTTTAACATAGCAATGAAATATTTACTCTCCTATTACTTGAGTTGGAGAAATAAAAATAAGAAATGTGAGATGCTGGAGCATCAGAATTCTACAGAGAAAACTCGAGCCAATCTCTCTAACATTTAGGAGGAGGTAACAGTCATAATTTGAACAAGGGAAATGCAATATCCATACAATCAATTTCCCATTTTCCCTCCTAATGCATATTGAATGGCAAATATTCCCATACATACCAGAATAAAATTTTAAAGATATGTCACCCGAAAAGAAATTCTGAAGATCAGTGGTACTACTTATATGTGGGCTTAATACAGTGATTTTTAACATAGAGTATCGGTTTACATGTAGCAGCTTGTTGACTTGTACATATAGCTAAATAGTTGAATTTCAAATGTATTTAGAAAAACATTTTGCTATGATTCGTCTCCTCAGACTGTTTTTATTTCGTAGATGCATTCAAGATCACCTTGCAGGGAACATACTGATTTAAATTTGCTACTGAATTTTAAGATTCAAAGCATTATTCTAGGTCAGTGAGTCCCATGCCACATTTAAAAGACCACGAATATATATTTTACTTTTTTTTTCTTTTGTTAATGAGAAAATGCTCATTAAGGTCTAGCTTTCATGGAATCTGTACATATATGCCTACCTGCTAACCATGGATTCATGCTGTGTAAATTCTCTCCCTGTTTCCAATTACCCCAATAATGTCCCCAGAAGAAATTCTGTTCTTGTCTTGTTCTTTCTTACTGAGTGTACTCCAGAGTGGAGTTTTGCCAGGATACCCTGCTGGTTTTTCTGATACCTGGACTGTTTTTTTGTCTTCTGTTCTTTTCATAACAGAATAACTCCCCATCTACTCCAGTGCTCCAGTGACTACTTCAATCACCTAATTCTTAGGAGGAAGCATTTATTTAAAAAAAAAATAAAATTGCTACATATGAAAACTGCAAAATATGCCATTAGGAACCTACCCAGTAGCTGAACATGACAGGGACTGTGGAAAGGACTTGGACTGTGACTCCTGAGTAAGAAAAATCAGTTATTAATATTTCCCTTTTTTTAGATAAAATGTTAAAAATAAGAAAGCATTTTGATTTGAAAGGTAGAAGGTAAAAGCTATAATGGTAAGAAAGACTGATTTAACAGTGACATGGACAGCATATTTTTTTTTCCTAACTAAGGATCATGGTACTAATCTATACCATAACTTTATGTGTGACAGGTTACAGGAATGAACACAACAATTCTAGCAGATTAACAACAGAGGAAACAATAAACAATAATTGGGACTTCACTAAATAGTTACATGTAATAAAACTACTAATGCAAAAGATGGCATTAAAAAACCCTAGAAGAACTTATTCTAAGACAATGACCTTGCCAAAACACTCAAATGTTTAACAAAACGATTTATCCTCCTTCTCGGTATTTTAAGTAGGAAACAAGAGGGGAAGCTGCCTCAGGCATATCTCTTACAAGATCTGATTAATATTATGTACAGCAGCAATGGTTTCGGGTTAAGGATAGGGACTACAAAATTATGTATGTACCAAAGTATAGCCTAAGTTGTGTTATTCACCAATATGCTACTGGACACTTAATTAGTATGTTTGAGAACATTCACCGTCTTTTCCACAATATGCACTGTATCTGGTTTCAATCCATTTTTACACTTCTAAGCAAACTTAACATAAACCTTAAAGGTAGATTTCCCAGCTGAACTTTCCTAGACACTAGCTTTAGGAAGAAGAAGAATCAGAAAAACTTCTTTATACCCTCTTCAAAGGGTTTTGCAAAGGAGAAAATAATAAGAAAAGGCAGTTAGGATTAACTGAAAGATTTTCTCCAACAAAACTGTGATTATTTGTGTCACAGAACTGTGATGTTGGTTACCTTGATAGGTTGTTTTATTGTGTAGATCAAGACACAGGTTTGTATACCAAATAAACCTAGGACATATGATTATGAGAACTAATTTAGTCTCCTTGGTGCACTGGCTACCATTTGTTATTACTGGAAAGATTTCTTGGGTTTTCACAAACAAAGCCTTTTAGCAACCAAGCTGTAAGTTATCTCTCTGAGTTAATAATGCCTTACAGTGTCTGATAATAGTTTTGTTCAACTTTCCATCTTTGCAAAGATGAATTCTGCATCTTTGTTCCAAAATTACACCATATTTGGAAGGTAAAGTTTTGGGTATAATCTGTCTTGGCCTGTGTTACAAAACCCAGTCTTTGAACTAAGTACCTACAGCTTTGTAAACCAAAAAGAGTAAATATGGCCCATAGTCTGTATTGTTAGGTGAACTGTAAGAATGAAAAACACTAAGACCTTTTCTTTACTCTCTTGTCTGTATCTCTGGAGTTTTGTAATAAAAGGGGACAATTTTATGGCACAAGTCACCAGATGGTGCTGTAACACACTCTTTTAGATTTTTATGTATTTTTAACTAAGTGAGCACTGTTTAGTTTGTGGAGAAATATTGTGGTGTTGGCTTTATATTACATTTTCTTTTCTCAGAGCTGTTGCAAGAAAAAAAGAATTAAAAAAATCTCCTGTGTTTTCTTTTTCTCTACAGCAAATAGATGAGGCAGAATCGTTTTGGGGAAACTTGGTATTAGTATTAAGGGAAATATATGAAAGGGAAAGATGCCCAAAGGCTATTTATGATCCACACTATGGTTGAATGGACATGGTAATCCCCCAAATCCCTAAACTAACTCAGGGGATGACTACAATCTAGTCAAGGCAGCCTATTTCAGAGAGGTTGCAAAGACATTCTAGCATTCCCATTAAATCATAGAATCACAGAATGGTTTGGGTTGGAAAAGACCTTAAGATCATCTATTTCCAACCCCAATGATGCCTCACACTCGACCATGTGGCTCAAGGTTCTGACCAACCTGGCCTTGAACACTGCCAGGAATGGAGCATTTACCACTTCTTTGGGCAGCCTGTTCCAGTGCCTCAGCACTCTCACAGTAAAGAACATTTTCCTTATATCTAACGTGAACACACCCCGTTTTAGTTCAAACCCATTACCCCTTGTTCTATTGCTACAGTCCTTGATGGAGTTTCAAACACTGCTTCTGGGTGAAAATGACGGGGGGGATGTGCGTGTGTAACTTGATGATCTCTAGGGTCCCTTCCAATCCAAACCATTCTATGACTCTGTGAATGAATCAGTGTGCTAAACCTTTTCACTTTTATATTTTTATTAGGCACTTTCAAATGCACTATCAGAGAAGTGGCTGTTACTCTAAATGAGACACAATGATTTCAATTCCTTTACGGAGGTACCTGATAGGTTCATCTCTTTAATCCGTACTTCTGGATCCCAACAGTTCTCTTGAATAACTCTAAAAACCTTTCCATCCTTCATCATCTTTGCCTGTCCCTGTGAAATGACATTTTCATATATTATACATATAACAAAGTAGTACATGCTAATTTATAGTCTCTTGAGTGTATTGTGCTCCCTACAGAAATTCAGTTACAGAATTTGTTATTTTATTTTTATTTAGTGGGTATTTTTATTCAAATACTATTTTAAAATCGTCATTAATAAAATGGATTTAATTCTTCATAATAAAACAATTTCCTTTCTTTTGCAATGTGTATCATTCTACATTTGTTTGGAAAAGATATCAGGTACCTTTATCAAACTTTATCCTCCAACCAAATTTTGACCTCAAAACAATGCTCTAATTAAATCTGTGCTAAATTTTTCCCCTGGGTATGTGTGTGTTCTTTTAAAGTCAATAGCTTCACAGTGATTCCAGTAACTACAGAAATAATTGTCCAACTCTGTTCATTTCAGTCCAGTTGTTTCATATTACCAGTAATACTGAGACTAAAGGAGACCTATTATGTTGTCTTCAGATTATATTTTCTCCTCGAGAAAAAAAGAATTATTGAATAATATGTATTTGGGAAAAGAAAAACCTAAACCTAAACAAAACCTAAATGCAGTGTAAACCCATTACCTTAGTTAGTGTAATACCATTGCCATTTGCCACCAAATCCCAGACTTACAGAGTTCAAAATATTACCAAGGTCATGATATTTAATAATGTGCCTTTAACTACAGATACGAAAACTTTATTTTTAAACTTTTTTTTGTTGTTGTTGATTTGCCAATTGTCGAAAAAGGTTGAGTAGGCAGTGTTATCACATGAAACAAAGTAAATTGTCTGTTACAGCTGTAGGTATCCACATGCTTCTGTGGACTTGTAAAAACAGAAAAAACAGCCCTTCTGTTGGCCTTGACTTACACCAATTGATGGGATACAATTCACCAATACTTGCAAGGCATGAGTATCTCTTGGTTGCTTCAAGCTACTATGGGGAAAAACGGAAACGGGTGAAAGTCAGAAGGTCCGCATGACCCTGTCTATTTGGGATGGGTAAGCATGGTCATGCAGCAGATGTATAGGACAGAGAAAACACTGCATCTGCAGTTGAAAATTGAAAGCCACATCAGAAAACACAGCAGCTATTCCTTCACCTTCACAGTAAACATAAGCCAAGTGCAGGGCAGTCTTCTGACCCTTCTGGAAAAGGAAATCTCTCTCTCCAAAGGCCATTTTATTTTTTCCTCACAAAATTGGTTTATTTAGGATCCTGAGTATTTTTTTTTTTTAATGAAAAACCTGTTAAATCAGAATATTCGCTACTAGTATGCTAAACCAGAAATCACCAATAAAATTTCCCAAACTTCTCACAGAGCAGGGTTTCTGTCCCCTCCTTCTGAGAAGTCAGACTGTTCTTAACCATGAATTCGTTATTAACTTTATACATCATTCACAAATATACTGCCTTAATGAATATTTGAAAGCTCTCTTCAACAAACCTAACTGTGCCGCCTTTGCAAACTGCCGAGTTACTTCACAGGTTGTGAAACATCAGAGTTGGTAACAACAACTACATAGTCCTGATCCTCTGGTAGAATACTTCAGGTTCTTGTAAAATCGATTTTCCAGCCTGACAGAAAGGTTTACTCTAACCATACTCTCCAACATATTAAAAAAAAATAAATCAGTGCATTGATGCAAATTGCCTAATAGAAAAATATTAGGGTGTGAGTAGAGAAAAAGACAGAGTAGAACTGGGCATTGCATCACATATGAATAGGTTGTGTGGACTTCATTGGATTGCCACTGGGAGTACTTCTGTGAACACAGGCAACTTAATTCTTTCCTCAGACACAGGTAAAGCATTGCAGCTGACCTGCTCATATTTTCCTCTGCTAATACCAAATACAATATTAGATAGATTGTAACTTTACTAGCAACTTTGACAGTGCTCGTACTTAAACACCAAGATAAACCTGCAACAGGGTTTCAATATAGGAAAGGTTTCTAAAAAGCCATGTGCTGTTCTTGAAGAACTAGTTGAATTGTTTGCTATTTTCATTTGCATTAGCTGATTCTTTGTGAATATACTACAGGTCAAGGCTGAGCTCACAGCATTGTATGTTGACAACAACAAACTTGATTATGCAGTAAAGCAAAACATGATCATCTAAATAGATTCGTGCTTGTCTATGTAAGGATAGAAAGACTTTGTCCAGCAACACCATGACTGGAAAATGAGTCATATTGCTATGGTCTCTAAGACACTGTCACTAATTTGAACCTCATTTTTCAAAGGAGAAATTATTCAGACATTCCACTGGGAAACAATTCTTAGAGCTTTTAGCACTAGTAAGAATGAAACATAGATCAGGAAAAAAAATTTCATGGATGCAGCACTGAAAATGTCATAAAAGACATGACATTTCTATTTGCAAGGTTAACAAAATTTTCTAAGGTCACAGTGGAAGAAGTCCTATTATTCTATGCTATTCTATGCTATTCTATGTCAATTTTAGGCTATTCTGCTCCATTCTGTTCCATTCCAAACATTGTCTGATATTTAAAGATTTAATTAATTTATGTGGCAATTAAGAAAGAGAGAGTTAAGAATTAAGTCCAGCAGGCTGATTTGGTTCAGCAAACAATGTTTAAAATTATCCCATCACTAAACTACTCACTCACATCCCAAATTGCACTTCTTTGAAAATGCAAGTAATTATTTTCTTTCAGTTTGGCCCTGATGCTTCTTCACAGAATTATATGAGAAGCTTTTAGGGTTCTTTTTAATCTTAAGACTTAACTTCCCCAGCTCCACACATCTGAACATCTGATTTTATTTTGCCATGCACTTTTTTCATGCAACATTTTCAGACAGAAGTAGGCTAGACAGAATTCTCTGCAGAGTGCATAAGGCTATTACTGACTTGCCACAAGGTTCCTTTGCAAACTATTTTTAGCAAGGAATTTTAGCATCAGACCTGTAACAAACAGCTAAGCTACTAAAAATGTCTCCAACAGCTCTCCCCTTCCTGCACCTACCATGTATGTCAGAAACTGTGCCATCCACACTTTTGTTCAGCATGTGGCTTGGTCTCCCCTCCTGTGCCTGCTTATACTCAGATATGAAATTTCAGCATAATATTTCTTTGCTCCACATTTTTGTTCCCAACCTTCATATTCTGTCATCCTTATTCATAAATGGTTGTCAGGCATCTGACAGCATAGCCTTGCATGTTATATAATGACAAGTGTGTATATCATTAGATTGCAATAAACAGACATGGTTTTGTATCCATTTTATCAGCTTTCCCCAGTTAATATAAGCATATATACAATCACAGAGAAGTATGATTTTGTGAAGTGGTGAAGGGATGAGGGAATGTCTAGCCCCACTGAAATTAACGGGCATTATATATTTAAATACTTTGATTACCTGGAAGATGCAAGTATGGCTTCTCTAAAGACAGTGTTGAATCTCTACAGAGAATGAATGAATTGGCCAAATCATACACAAAAATACCAAGCAATAAAGAAGACTGGGTATTTTATAAGGTTACTGGAATAGGCAGAGGCACTGCCATCCTTAATATGCTAAGTACTAAATCTTTTTATCACTTATCCTTCTAGTTTTCAGTACAGAATTCCTACATTGATATCATGTTTGAATTTCAGACGACAGAGACAGATTAACCCCTGTAAAACACTGTGCATACAGCCTGCCATCATAAAACAGAGCCGGCTTTAGACAGTTATTTACACTCCTCACATGCATTAGGTGGGTTATGAGGTCACTCTCTGTGTTGAGCTATTCATGCTCTTAGTTTTTTGTCTTGCAGCTTACTATATGCACACTGTTCTTTCTGCTTTTATCTACACAAGCCCTTTTGGCTTCCTATTTTTTCCTGAATTATTTGGCAAATACCTTGCATTTCTTCTGTACCTGTACAACTCACAGCATTCCTCTAGCAGGCAATTAGAGATTAAGTTTTTCAAGTTAGGAAGGTACATAGGAAGTGAGATGGAAAGTGAACAGAGGTCTCCTGAGACTTGCTTTTAATGCCGTATTTCTAATCTCCCTCTTTCCAGAAGCCAGTGCCATTTGCAGTGACATGCTCTCCAAAAGATTCCTAGGAGTGGGAAGCTAAAAGGTCACAGTAGGAAGCTGGCTTAATGTGACACTGTTGAGGCAGACAGGGATATCTGACTGACATATTGAAGTTATCAACCTGCAGTACTGTGTTCAGCTCTGGGGCCCCAACATAAGAAGAATGTGGACCTGTTGAAGTGATTCCAGAGGAGGGCCATAAAGGTGATCAGAGGGCTGAAGCACCTCTCCTGTGAAGATAGGCTGAGAGAGCTGGATTTGTTCAGCCTGGAGAAGGCTCTGGGCAGACCTTAGAGCAGCCTTCCACTACCTAAAGGAGCTGACAAGAAATCTGGAGAGGGACTTTTGACAAGGGCATGGAGTGATAGGACAAGGGGGAGTTGCTTTAAATTGGAAGAGGGTAAATTTAGACCAGATATTAGGAAGAAGCTCTTCACTGTAAGGGTGGTGAGGCACTGGAACAGGTTGCCCAGAGGTGCTGTGACTGCCCCATTCCTGTAAGTGTCCAAGGCCAGGTTGGACGCAGCTTTGAGCAACCTGGTCTAGCGGAAGCTGGTTGGAACTAGATGATCTTTAAGGTCTCTTCCAAACCATACTATGATTCTATGATTCTATGGTAACAGAGAATCTGTGACCATAAATCTTATGACCATCATCTTTAAAACAGTCTTGTACAGTTAACCTACATAGTAATGTACAAAGGGAATTATTTTGCCTTATCAGCCCTAACTCTCTTAGGTCCTTGTGTCCTCCTGTAAAAAAAGCAGTTACACTGTTTTTTTTAAATGCTCTTACCAAAAGATAAACTGCAACATTTTGACCTTGCTTTCAGAAGTTTTATATTTTTGTGTCACTGTGTCACTAAAATTACTGCCAATTTGCTCTATTCTGAGTGAGATCAGAATCAAACCTTTAAGAAACCAGTTCTGTCCCCATTAGAGTGAATCCATGTATTCTGCTAACTTCAGTACCAGCAAGATAGATTCTGAATGTTATCACAGACTCATGGTACATGGAGACATGTTGTTCCAGTTGTACTAATGTAGGCCAAATGCGCCACTGAAAAGTTAATAGAGTGGATGGTGATAAAGAGGTGAAGTAAAACCAGACCCAGCCTGCCTTTTACTTGCCAATAAACCTCACACTCCTACTTTTCTACGTAATGGTCACCAAATCTATGCAATACCTTTACTGTTGTGCTACTTGTTCTCCTCATCATGAAGTTACAGAAATTACTCTTCCTCTTTCACTCAGATGTGAAGATATGTTCACATCTTTAACTTGTATTAAGTTCCTTTTGGTTTTGCTTCTCATACAGCTGACTGTATTTAACTAAAAAAAAAAAAAAAAAAGGAAAGAAATCTACATTGCTTCAGGCTGACCTATCTTATTGAAATGAAGAGCTATCCTTGACGGGATGATGATGAAAAATGGATACTGGTTCATACATGAGAATATGAGTTTCAAGCAAAAAGTTCTACTGAGGCATATTAGGACTTGGAGTGATATTAATTCATAGAAGATAGACCTCTAGAGAATCTGTATCAGACATAATTCATCTTACTGCCACTTTCCTTTTTAACAGATTTACTGTGAGCATGTATTCCTGATGCTCAGCTTAGATTTTCCAGGATCAGTTTAAATATTTCCAGATAAGCTTAGAGCACCAAACAGTCCAAACCTTGCAGTGATGATCCAGCTGCACCCATCCACCATACCCGTATCTCTGTGAAAAAAGGAAGAAAAAGCCAGTGCTAATTAGCACTCTGCAATAATAATAAAAATGTCAGTTCTTAAATCCAGCAGTAGCTCATTCAGGAGGAATACTTACACATATGCTCAGCTTTGAGCCTATGATTAGCCCCAGACTTCAGCATAAGTCCTGAAGTTCAACTGGATTGGACCAATGATATTTACAGAGCTGAACTTTTAGCTCCCAGTTCAACAACATTTTCAAGTAAGTCCTACAACTGCTTTCAAAATGCTTAAAGTTGCTTACTATATTGAGGTTTTAACACATGTTTTTGACACAGAAAAAAATTAAATCAAGTAGTTGTCAATATAAAAATTGAGCTGACAATTTTCCAATCTGTGATCAGTTAATCATTAGCACAAAATAGTATTGATTCCACTTTTCAGCTTCCATGATTCAGCAGCAGGACTCAAGGTCAGACTCTCATCTATTAATATTTAAACAGCCAAGAGAAGCTAAAAAGGAAAAGCTTAGATGCTCATTGATTCTTCCAGACAGATTCAAAATCGATTACGCAAAAAAACCCAACACCAAAACCTGCAAAAGGTACTGATTTTCTCTTACTTTCATAAATTATCGGACTAGAAAGAAGTGAAATCTTGAAATACCATAATAGACTGAAAACTATGTTTGGAATTCCCATTTTTCTGTAAAGAAACATTTCAATGGGATCTACGTAAAAGCACGCATTTCTTTCACTGACGTCTAAACAATTTGAATACAGTCCTGAATTTCCTGTGGTAACAAATCATGATATAATGCCACTGTGAGCTTTCCTAATGTAAGCATGCAGAGCCAAGCCTCCTGGCTTCAGCCAATCACGGGTGCTAATGACAGAGGCTATGTATTATTTAGGTATGTAGATCTGTATATTTTATTTTAATTCATAGATTTCTAGGTTTCTACATCTATATATAAACGTTTAAATTTATGGAAAATTTTGTGAGTGACACCTGATGAGAACTTCATGTTTTCCCTAGCTCCATACTAATTGCAATTGCAAGGTGTGCAGAAAACAAGTACTTTAAAGGTGTTCAAGGAGCATTCAGGCAATAAAAAACCTCACTGCTTTGTTTCTACTTATTTTCTTCTTTCTTCCCCTCAGTTCCTAGTTGGATGTATTCCTTATTTGATTTATTTCTATGAAATTTTATACCTATGGTTTCCTAAGCTCTTAACTAAGTATCTTGACAATAGAATTACCTAGGATTGGGATTCAGTACTTAGAAGGCTGGGAAAAAAAAGAAAAAAGAAAAGTTTAGTGTGCATTTTAGGATTGCCTTATTGTTGTTCCATGCATGAGATGTAGAAAACTATGTTAATGCCTTGACTTTTTAGAGGACTTTAGGGAATTCTGAGAGTTGTTTTCTATTCTGGGCCCATTAATAAACCATTGAATCGCTCAACCTTTACAACAGAGGAAACAAAAACTAGCAGGTGGAAATCAAGTTTAAAAATTTTGGTTGTTTGCCTCTTTATCAGTGTTTAAATAAATGCAAAACTAGTAACAATAGCAAATTCAGTCTTGATGTACGTCTGTGAACGTCATGAGATTCTTGGGATGATTTTATCTCAATGACTTATTGCCCTTTTAAACTCCATACAGGAAAAAATAATATTTTAAAATCATGTAAAATCAGAATGATGGAATTTTATAGGTGGTTTTATATGGATACTGCACAAACAAGGACAACAAAATTGGAAACAAGCAAGAGTAACTTGTCTTTGTAGTGTGGATATTTAAACTCTTACCCATTTAAACCAGACATAATTGTTCTAAAAAATATCTGTCATCTCACCTACATTATCCAGCGTATATTTGTTTTTCATTGAGGAGCTCTTATTATTGTAAATAGAAAGTGCAAATAGGTGTTTAAAAATACTTTTGTTGGTAAATAAAGAAACAAAAGTTCCTTTCCAGGAGGTTTTATGAATAATGATGTTATTTTTCACTATTAATGAAGAAATAATCCTATGTATGTTTTTAATGCCAGGTTTTCTCATGACGTTTTTTCTAATATGCTGTTTACATTTTCCAGCTGCTCTCTGGCTGATATTGAACTGATAGTGGACTGTCATGTTTAAAATCACAGAAACACAGAGGTAATACATATGAAACACTTACTGAGAATTTGCCATCATCAACCTCAAAATAATTAGGTGAAAGAAATGTACAGGATAAAACAGTCTCAGTTAGTGTGTCAGGTGCCTAAGCACCTGGCTGAAATAATGGCATTCTTTTGTTGTCAAAGACAGGCACAATGAAATCCAATGGTTCCATACTACTGTCAGACACAGAGAGTGTTCATTCAAACTACAACCAGCACAGAATTACAATAAGGAAAGAAGCAACAATGAAGGTCTTTTCTACTCCGAGTTTTTATCATGAATGGAAACATTAAGGAGTTACAAAACATATCTATCCTGGAAACCTGAATGCAAATTTTAATTGAAAATAATTTTAGAGATGTGTGTGTATAAACTATATATATTATAGTTTCACTATTCATTTTCAAATACTTTTCATGGGATGATGAAAATTATTACTGACAAGAATAATTTTTGCCATTAAATAATATTAAAACCAATAATAGTAATAGTAACAACAACAATAACAACAACACGCAAAGATTCTAAATTAATTCAAGTTCACTTATAGCTTCAATGTTCTAACGCCTGAAATGTTGTATTTTTAATACAATATGCTACTTTTTTCCAGTAATTGAAAAACCAACAGATATTAATAGAATTATCATCATTATCAATTAACTGTACTTAGAGTGACCCCACTCCTACTGAAGTTAATGACCTTTATGCCTGTGGGTATAAGATGTGAATGACTTTTGTGTTAGGTAACAGTAATCTTGTCTAATAGTTGATTATTTCTCTTATTTAAACCAAAAGGGAATTATCATTTGGGAACCTGAAAGCTCTGGTTTTATCAAGAAAGTTGAACTTACCATAGTTATTTGGCAATTTTAGGTCTCACAAAAAACCCCAAGCTAAAATATAAGAATTGCTTCAGACTAAATAAAGAGTGGGGAACAGAGCCCAGTTTTTCATCCCCTTCCTACTGGGACTCTTGCTTTGCAAAGTAAAGCAATACAAATATCTTATATCCCCAGAAAAAAAAAAAAAATCAAATTAGACAAAAGCCTAGAGATATTTATAACAGAACCCTTCATTCACTGTTCTTTCAAAATTACATTGGTAGAAATGGTTGCTGATAACATAAGGCACTGAATATCTAAACTCTGATTACCTTTTTTAGGTCAGGCCATTCCTTAGGTAGAATGTGGCTATGAATATCAATTTTCATTTTTGAAGTATCAAAGGAGAAATACTCATTCAATGAAAATGTTTTCTGTGTAATTGCTACTATCCTTCCTGTGCCTATTTTTTTTACTTTGGCTGCTGTTGAGATCCATCTGCTGTTTTATCAGGAGAGCTAGGGTACAGTGGCCAACCAGGGAGCCTAAATCCCGGAGGAGTGGCTCTCTGAAAGAACAAAAGCTTCTAACAGAAAGTCCCCGTTAATGCACAAACTACAGCTGACTGAAGGCAAAGGGAAAATACATGTTTATATTGGCACTACAAAGGGATTTATTTTACGCAGAATCTAAAATGCAAACTTGTTTACAGTTCAAAATCACTCAATGAACCTGATTTAGAATAAATATATTAAACATGCTGACCTGAATTTCCTCCTTTCTCCCTCTACAATAATTTGTGGAGAGCATATAACATACCCTTGGTAGACAGCTATAACTCCATGGCAGGGGGGTTGGAACAAGATGATCTTAACCCTAACTATTCTATGATTCTATAATCTACTCTCTTTTCTTTCCCTTACTTTAAAGCTATGTAAAAAAGAGGAAAAAAAAATTATCACAGAAATATTGAATTGCAGCCAAATCTATGCTCTGCACTTTAGTTCCCCCTTCTCATTATTGCTTCACTTTGGATATTTACACATGCTACTGCATAACCATGCTTACAGCCTCTTGAACTGGCTCAAGATCTGGCAGAAGAATGCCTCTGATTATTTTAGCAATTAATGCTACTGTAGATCACTAGCTAATATGGCAAACAGTTTCTGCATCCTAAGTCAAGCTTAACTGGAGCTAGCTCAGATTTTCTGTAAACTGCATCTCATGTTTTGCTCTTTGCTCTATTTAGTATTACACTTATTTCCTCAAGATAGCCTTGTGCTGTATTTTTCCCGTAATTTATTTCCTTTATGACTTTATTTCAATGTGTGCTACTCACATGCTACTCTTCTTATGAAAGCTGGCTAACCATTTCTTGATTAATTTGTTTCTAGTGAAAAATGCTGTTGTTTTTTTTTTTCCAAAAATAAACACTGTTGTGAGTCTTGCAACTTGAAATCAAGCAATCTGAAAAACAAGTGGCCTATTTTGTTTCATCCTTTTTCTGATTTTATTATTTTGTTTGGAGTTAATAAAAAAAAATTAGGACTTTTATATTTCCCTGCTTGTTTACTCATTAAGCAAGCCTGCTTTAGATTTGGTCAGTTAACCTTCTTAGTTATTTATTCTTCAAGTCAATTCCTTGTGGCAGGGTTGGTTTTTTGCTTGATGGCGTGCTTCTCTGTAATGTGAGATCACTGAAGACTAAAGTTCAAAAGAAATAGGAAGCAGCAGCTTTGTGAGAGTATTCCCTAAGTAAGGTAGGACAGCAAATAATTCACTTTAACAGATCAAAACCATGAGATTGAAAATTGCAATTATTTCCATCTCAAAATCAAAACAAATCACTTCATGACGAGGCTGCCAGGTTAAGCAGCAAATTTGCTCTCTTGCTCCCAAATGTGACAGCTACGTTACATGACCAAGCACATCTATAGTGTTAGCCTGTTGGCAAGCAATGTTCCTGCAAATGCAGTAGCCAAGATAAGAAAGAAGTATTGATTCAGCTGTGGGAACTCTGCATTGTGAATCTTATGAATCCATAGATACAAGGCAAAAAGTTGAGGTGAGGCCTTCCATACAGAGATGTCTGGAAGACAATTCCCTATTTAAGCATAGAAAGTAGAGGCAGTAGTGAAGGTGAGGGGCAAGAAGAAATTGGTCTATCTGCATAGCCTAAGACACGTAGTTTTTTCTCTTAAGTCACCACAGCTGCAGACTACCATGCAGAGATCAGCAGCATTTCTTCAATACTGTGCTTTACTCAGCTCTAAAAAAAGATGTAGTCGTTAGCTGCTGCTCCAAAGACACAGCTTAACTTGCAAACAGTGAAGTACTCCCACACTGTGTTTCACATAACAAAACACATAATTTGGAAACCATACCAACAAAGGCAAAATTTGTATCCATTTCACTCGATCAAAGTAACAGTAAGACATCTGTCTATATCCAATATGATCCATTGGATCAGCATCAGAAAGACCATCAGCGGCTACGAACAAATGCATCTTCAGCTACCCAGGCACCCTACCTACTTTGTGTTTGGGTTTGAAAAAGAGGATACCTTCACTGATGTTTTGGACAATCTGTCTGGTAACAGTGACTTACGTCTCTCAGTCTCCTTGAGTTTGTCCTAGTGCAACATGATGGCTTTTGTCATGGCCTTTGTTATCTGTCTCCACCTGGTTGTGAATTCCTGGAGTGTGACACAGGTGCGGGAATTGCCAAGAGTAGCCAGGAAAACCTGCAGCTGAGTCAGATGGTCCTACACAGGCAGAACTCAGCTTAAATTCACTGTGCTGTTGGCAGGAGGTCATGACCAGACAGAAACTTTCACATGCACAATGTCTGGGGCAGCAAAAGGTTGTATTGGGCCGATATAAGACCTGAACTGTACCCATTCTTGGGCTACCCACAAATAATTTATGTCCTAGAGCATTTGGATAAGACCAAAAAGCTGGTCAGAAAAAAAGAAGAGAGATCAGTCAATGAACATACTTGTTACATCTGCTAAGGAGGAGAACTAAAATGCATAGAGACTTCTTCCTGGTCAAAAGTAGCCTCCTCCATACATTAAGATGGCATGCCCCACCTGCCTCCGTACACTTAACGCATAGCATACATGTGATCTTTCAGATCACACACATTTATTATGGCCATTAGAAACACAACTGCATTCTTGATTTTGACCAACTTTGTATTTTTTTGTGCATTATCTGTTTTCTATTTGTGTGGGTATAGGCTGGGAAACATAATGAACAACTCCTTCAGGACAATTTAGCTAAACACTATTCAGGCCAAGACTGATTTTAGATATGCAGACACAAGTCTAGCAGAACTACAGAGTTTTATTTCACTAAAGGGACAAGCACTAAAGTGAAAATTGTGTTAGATGTAGACCATTAAATAATCTTTTCCAAAGCCATTTAGCTGCTTTTCTCAAACAGTTACAGAATTTGAGATTTGGAGTCTTCAGTCTGGGAAGGGGGGTCCAGTTCTGGTCTTTGTTTATTAGGGAAAAAGTATCTCCTCATACCAGTGGGAAAACCATGGCAGAGCATTCTTTGAAAGAGGGTGCATCAACAAACCTTGGTAAATATAGCATGTGTCTGCCACAAACATGCTATCCAGGCAGCCCATTTCAAGTAAGATGAAGAGAGAAGACAAACATTCAGGATGCTGATGTTAAAAAGGGCTAAAATACTTGTGTCAGTTTTTCAGACCTTCAGTTTTGCATGTTCTTCTCTGGCTCCTGCTCTTTAAATTGCACAATTGTTTGTGCAAATTGGCTATTTTATGCATGTGCACAGCTCTGGAAAAACAAGTGGAAAACTCTTTGTGCTCAGTAGCTAAGATGAAGTACTTAAAGAATATGTCCCTTTCCAAATGAAATAAATGTTGAGCAGCACACTTATGTTGGTTGCTTAGCAACAGGCTATCCTTTGGCTGTGCTGGGGACTGCACTGGTCCTTTGAGACTGCCATCACAGACCTGCTTGGAAATGTCACATTTGGAAAGGATGCAAAAGTCAGTAATTTGATTTTTTGTTTGGTATCGAACAATTGAACTTCTCCTATTAAATTAGCCTAATCATGGAGCTTCATGCTCTTCTGCGATCCCAGAGAACACAGACTTTAGCAGAGGTGGTATGGTTTCCCTTCTATGAGGAATAATAACAATGGTTATGGTTTCCCTTCTAATGAGGAATAGTGATATGCAGTTCCTATGTAGCACTGTCCATATGTAGATCTGAAGTGCTTTATATCTCAAGATGCTATTTTTGATAGGAAGACATTAGTATAACTAGCACAAGTACACCAGGAGGACATGTCCAGCTACAGTTACATCAGTAAAGTCCTTAACAAAGATGTATCCCAGAGATGGCAGCAGCGCAGGTATATTCATCATTAAATACCGAAGACAAGTAGAGTAAATTTTTCATTTTGTTATTCAAAAACCTCTGCAGAAACAAATGACAGAAAGAGCCTCTGTTCAGACAAACATCAGAGCTGATGCTGGTCTGTATCTGAGCCAGTTTAGCCTTGCTGAGAAGTCTGGCTTTTTAGCTTAGATGTGATGCTGTACTGATGCATCTCTGATGCTTCCAAGAGCTAATTATTAAATTTGCATAGTGAAATTTCATGGTTGTACAAGCTCAGGATGATGCTCATTGGGTGGTCTCTTTATTAGACCTGCCCCAGCCACCACAGTTGTGTCACTAAAATTTGTAGTGTAAAAGTGTCCAAGATTGCTGACGCTTTTGGCAGCACATTGCACTGCTTTGTGACTACTAGCCTAGCAAGAGTTCTGATGAATCACATCATGGTGAAAGCAAACAACGTGTCCTATGCCAAATTCCTGACCATTACAGTGTTCTCTGCTGCATAAGTTAAGATGTAATGAATCCTCATTTATTTTCAGGTTTCTAGAAAATATTACATTGTTGAAATTCAACTAGTATTTTAAATTAAAAAAAAAAGGTCTATCTTTCAAATAATGTAACTATTTTCTTAATACACTACAACTGCAATTCTGAAATTTACAATTACCATTTATTGATCTTTCATAGAAATGTTCTATCAAAAATGATAATTAAACAGATATTTTCCAAAATGTGACTGCAAATAAAATAGAATATTTTTTTACATGTGTAGACACAGATAAATAAAAAAGACCCTATTTAAGCACATATCAGGCCAAGTGTCACTTGTGCAGTGGGAGCAACCAGACAGGTATCAGTAGCATAAACGTGGGCCAGAAAGAACAGATGGAATGAAGCTTACAGATACTGATATCAAAAAGTCACAATTTTCAAGTTAATACCCCATGGTAACATCTGAGATTGTTGCAATTATTTAGAAGGCTGGTGTCTAAAATAAATAAGTAGTAA